CCGGGATTATTTTCGTATTTTTTCGCAAATTCAAGATGTCCGGTACTACCTCTTGCGAAGCTCTAAGAGCTGTATGTTACCTTAGCAAATACTTGAAGAGCTATGGACGAGAACGAGAGGGGCCAGCGCCAGCGACGCGCGATGCGCGCCAACCGTGGGAAATACGCCGACGACGCGCCCCGCGCGCGGCATGGCTCTTTCGTCGGGTCTTCCACCATCGTCGAATCTATCGTTTGCCTTCCCATAGACTATTCTATACTGGCAGCTCAACACGCCACAAGGTCTGGTGACCACATATCACGGTGTGATGTCCTTTACTTCGACTGCCACCCCAGCACAGTCTCGAGGCTTGAGCATCCGAATCCCATGTGCTGTTCGTAGCCGATGTCCCGTAAGTCTAATGTGAGCAGCCGTGGTTTCCACCGCCCTTAACTAGCCTCTAACTATGTATACCTGCCTGGAAATACCAAGGTAACATTCCGCTCCATCGCACTGAGAAGAGTGCGACGATGAAGAACGTATACTACCGGTTTATCATCTGGTTCAGTTCAACAGGCATTTTGCCGTGCATCTGAAGGTGCGCACTCGAGGGGCAACTGGATATGGTTATGAATATCAGCCTCATCGCACGAGCTATGCTGGCTACGGCTCATCGCATGATGTATGGGTTACAGATGCAGAGGCCTCGAGTCTGCAGCTGAGCCGATCTCCACAAGAGTCGTAGCAGTGATCTTTCTCGGCATATCATTCGAATTTGATGACTACTTGTCGTATTGCTTGGGAACTATTCGTGACTTAATATGCATACTAGCTCAACTATTTCGCTCAGTGGATCGCTTTCATGCCAGGCTGCAAATCGAAGCTCATCAGTCTCTTGTCCAGAGCCTGTAGCTGGCCTGCTGAATCGGCATCTGGATTCCTCGCCATGCCAGCACCTCAATGTGGTCCAATCATGCGCTCATTGCCGTGAAGTTTCGCCCTTTGGCAGATGCAATTCGGAGAGGACACAGTCAATAGGCCGACTACGATAGACCAAGGATAAGCCATTTTCGCGGTGAGATACTCCGGTCAAGCACTAGTCTATCGACAACATTAGACTGCTCCCCGCCCTTGGACTATGCAAGCCGATGTCGATATGCCGCGGCCGCGGCGTGATACACACTCACTCGACCCTGAAGAGCGATTTGATTCCCAAATCCACCTCGATACTCTCTCTGATGTTCAATCTGGTCAGAAGGTCTCGCCTACATATAGCTCTTTGTAACTACTTAACGTACCTACCGACTTCTGCCGAACGGGTGCGCGCGAGAATCCGACGAGCTAATCGGCTCAATCTGTTGGTCTGCCTCTGGACACGCTGCGACTCTTTCGAACTTGCACAGTTGCTCTTTCGCGAGCGCCTGTGACAGCATTTGACATACAGTTCTCGGTAGCTTCTTCGGTCAAGGCGCGTGCGTACTCGCAAGGTGATCCACAGTGATCTGGCAGATGCCGCAGAGACCCGACGAAAGAGCCATGCCGCGCGCGGGGCGCGTCGTCGGCGTATTTCCCACGGTTGGCGCGCATCGCGCGTCGCTGGCGCTGGCCTCTCTCGTTCTCGCCCGTAGCTCTCCGAGTACTTGACAAGGTCTCATACGGCTCTTACAGCCTCGCAAGAGGTAGCGCCGAACATCTTGGCATTGCAAAAAACCGAAAATATTCCCAGAGACTTCCCGCGAGCAGGTGCTTACCGATGTGACGTCATCTGTACCAGTGCATTCGGCGCTCTCCAAATATATATATAGTATGGCTCTTCTGCGGTTCTGTATGTCTACTCTCGTGCTCGCTGTGGCGGGCAGCGAGGGCGGGCAGTCGGGGGCGGG